CTGCTGCTCTAAAGAGTTCTATAGAACTGCATTTAAACCAGTCCCTTAAATTCTTCAACCAAGACATTCTCCTTCTTCCTGTACTCCTTCCTCCTCTTATCTTTCCCTGTATTATCCTTTTCTAATAATTGGAAAAACACTTTTCTAATAATTGGAAATGTGAAGGTAAACCTCAAAAGTAGCCTGCAAGAGAACGAACTTTCTACCAGTTGACTATTCATGTTTAGAATCACTAAATATTGAAAGTGTATTCCAATGAAGTAAATACTTGAGAAGAAGTTTGACCACCAGTTTCAGTTAATTAATTTTCAATTGTTTTATTATTTTATTTACGTTTTTGCAATACCTAATATTTTTTTTCGAATGTTGCAAAATAAAATTACTTTTCTCGAGATATAAATGTTTTATTTTTATTATTTGTTTAGAATTTAACACAGCTGTCAAATATTATCAATTATAGATTACTACCTAATGAGGTAGGAAGATGTTTAGGTGGGCAACTTGTGGTAGTGACCATTATCCCTAAAATCCGAAATAGCGTTTGCAGGAAAAGGAGGTTGTCCAGATGAAGCAGAAGGAAAATAGGAAAAAACAAAAACTGAAGAAGAGGTACAATTTACAAAGCTTATACCAAGAAAGTTTGTAAGTACTATACAAATCTATACTGAACAGTAAACACAAATATGTTAATTTCAGAGATTTTACCAATGAATCTGCAAAAGGAGCTTTGGAACAGATCGGAAAAAGGGACATAAGAGCAAAACCATATTGTTGAGATAAATAAATAGAAAAAAACATCGAAGAAAGGGGAAAATACCAACAATTTCTAAGCTCCCAGGACAACGATAAAGCAGTATATAGAAAAGTACAGGCAAGAGAACGAAAAAAGATATACCAGAAACAAAATGAAGCTTGGGAGAGAAATTGCGAAACAAATTTATTTCTTGAAGGTAGCAGAAGTACAAATGCTAAAAACTCATTAAAACATTACAATATAATAATAAACAAGGAGTAATATCACCAATAATAGCACAGAAGTGGAATGAATATTTTAAGGAACTTTAATTGGAAGCAGAGTAGATAATCTTAACATAATCGAAGGCAGAAATTTGATGACTTCAAAGAATGAAGAAAGATATACCAGAAACAAAAATGAAGCTTGGGAGAGAAATGGAGGCGAAACTAATTTATTTCTTGGAGGTGGGAGGAGTACAGAAAGCTGAAAACTGATTAAAACATTACGATATAATAATAAATAAGGAGTAACATTACCAGTAATAATACAAAAGTGGAATGAGTATTTTAAAGAACTCTTTACTGGAAGCAGAGTAGATAATCGTAACATAATCGAAGGCAGAAATGTGATAACTGCCGGGTTACCTCTGATAATTATGGGTAATGAGGTAACACAGATATGTACGGTTATTAAAAACCGACAAGATTCTGGATCGGGAAACGTCTCGTCACTCCAAAACTCATTAAATAAGCACCGAATTTATTATCTTATCAAGTCGTTCAATTATTCCAGATCTATATTAACATAATCGAAGTACATGAAGAGTGGAAACTATGTTCACGTTCAATAATCCATACAAAAGGCAGCAGAAGTGGCTGTGACAATTACCCCGGTATCTCGGTTACAATCACAATTAGCAGAATATATGAAAATATTATTCAAAATAGGGTTGAAGGAAAATATAAAAATATAAAAGCCAAAGAACATGCAGGCTTCACAGCAGGGAGGTATACAACAGACTGTCGATTCTGCGCAACTTAAGTGGTTAAGAACAAAACAGTGTTTAATCAATAAATTAATTTGCTCTATATGGACTTAAAAAAGGTATACGACAGTGTTTCGCAGCAAAAGCCATCAAAGACACTTGTAGAAACCAATATAAATATTTAGATAATTAAAGCAATAAAAAACCTGCAAAAAATTTCCATTTTATGTTCAAAATAAAGGTTGACGGGGTTACACAATTACAACAGGGTTAAAGCAAGGATACTGCCTCCTCCACATACTTTACAAGATATACCTGAAGAGAGACTTAAAAATAAGAAAGAAAAAATGTCATGGGATGGGAATTCCCCCTCAATAACACTAAATTTTAGACTGTTGTGTTGGCACAACAATACGATAATCTGGATTATATGATACACAAACTCATACAAGCATAAAAATAATGGGGTTTATAAGTAAACATACAGGACAAGAGAATATCAAGACCTACATCTAGAACATAGATAAAGAATTAAAATCAAAAATCGATGTGTCGCTGGTTTTTTTTTAATGTCGCAGTTCCTGATTTACATAATATGAATTGTTAGTAAATATGTATTCATTCTATTGCGTGACAGTGTCACTGAGATATGTTTAGGGGAACCTGGCCTAAAATGACATACTACTTTTTTGTCGTCCAATAACTTTTTTATTTTTTTAATAAAAATTTAAAAAAACATAAATGTTGTTCATTGTTTGGAAGTAGAACAGATCATGGAACATAAAACTCTAACAACACAATATTTTTTAATTAAAAAAAGGAAACAAAATAAACGTTGCTATGTCATTTTATCCAAGTATATTCGGCTAAAACGACACACTCACATGGATAAAATGTCATATAAACTAAATTAGCAAAGTTCACAAATAAATTTTTTGCACGATTTTGAGATACCAGCACAATCACAGTGTGCCCATTTTGAGCATTTTTGGCACCTAATCCAGAATTCTTTGGACCTTGAATGGGAGTACAAACTGTTACAATATAAACATGGAGGATTATTTTCGTCTTCGTCATCATCTGACACAATGGTCTTTGTTTCCTCCTCGCGATCTTGTGTCATTAAAGTCAGATTCTTAATTGCTCGCTTTGCAGCTTGACGTTTTTCTGTAGCTCGCTTCTCGAGTGCTTTGGCTTTTTGTTCTTTCATATTTGGGGTAGCCGTTAGAACTTTTGTTCCTTCTGATTTTCTTTTTTTGGAGCGTGACTGGACACCTGAACACGATGGAAGAGGTGAAATGTCAAGTGGACGAATACCAGGATTAATTGAAGAACAACTTTCAAGTGAGTTTGGTCTAGGTGTAGAAACCGGTTTGTTTCCTTGATCTGGAAAATCTTGATGTCGCAAAACATTATCATTCTCTTCTTTTGACTCTGTTAGGGGTTGAATTGCAACTTCTTCTTGAATATCTGTTATTTTGGAAGGATTAAATAAATAATCAGGGAATATGTCGGGATTAAGGGGCCAAATTCCAGTCTTTAAAAATCCACTAACGGCATTTTGGTGTGTAGCTGCTTTTCCATACGCTGTAGCAAATAATCCTCCAACTTGGTATTGCGAAACTGTTCTGCCTGGATGACACTTCATCCACTTGGTAACTTCTTGATCATAGTAGCTCTTTAATGGACCAAAGAAACATACATCTAACGGCTGTAGACGATGGGTACAGTGCGGCGGAAAACACAATATCACTATTCCATGTTCTTTGGCAAAAGTTAAAACATTAATGTTTTTATGGCTCGCATGCCCATCAAGCAACAGCATAACCTTGTCTTCTATAGAAGGATTAGAATATTCTTTAAAATGTTTCATCCATGTTAGGAACACTTCGCCTGTCATCCATCCTGTTTCCTGTGCTATTCCTAAAGTTCCTAAAGGCGCTTCATCTATTAATTCTTTTTTCCAATTTTTCCTGGGGAATATAAGTGTTGGTGGAACATAATTCCCCACTGAGCTAATGCAAGCAACCATCGTTATGTGCTGCCCTCTTTCCGCACTTGTAATTAGGCCCACTTGCTTCCGACCCTTGGTTGCAAATATTTTGCCGGGTTTTTGAACCGTGGATAGGCCTGATTCATCCACATTCCATATGCGTGTAGGATTAATTTTGTTATTTGTAATAGTATCCTCTAAAAGTTTTAAAAAATTGGCAATTTGCGGCCTGTTGAATGATTGCGCTCTTGCTGCAGACGTGGACTCGGGTTTTCTAAGGGATATATCGGGGTGTCTAGACCGAAACCCTCGTAACCAATCCCAACCAGCCATCTTAGTGGTTGTGTTAAATCGGTGTACTATTCCATTTCGATCTGCTAACTGGTAGGCTAAAGAACGAACGTCATCACAAGATAATCCAAACAAACTTGATTCTAGGAGTTTTATGTGTGTTACGAGGTCTCTTTCTAATTCTACAGAGAACGTAGTTTCGTACCGGCCAAGACCTTTATTAGTACCTGATACCCGTTTATTCTTGTCTGATGCTCGTCTTCTTAAAGTAGCTTGGGGCACATTAAAAGTTATCGATGCTTTTAACCAGCCCATGTCTCCACACTGGACTGCCTGGATGGCTCTTTGCATTTGTACTGGATCCCAAGACTGGCGTGTACTTTTCCTTTCGTAGTGTCCCACCATACTAAAAAAGAAAAATACTACTAGCTACCATATTATTAAAAGTTATGGGCAAAATGACATACTATGTCATTTTACCCGAGTATTTAATATGTCGTTTTACCCAAGTGTGAACAAGAACACGTTTTTTACAATAAATTTTTTGTTTAAACAAACAAAGCTTCCAAACATGATGTTTCTGTTAATATGAATAACAATATATACCTGGAACTAACAGAGATATAAAATTTTAAAGTTTTAAACGTTTTATAGCGAAGTATACGTCGCCTACCAAAATATTTTGGTATATACTCAATAAAGCACAAACCACCTTTTAACAAGTAAACGACTGAACTGATCGCGACGCCCGTTGGAACATCAATTATGCACCACGTGATGCTCTTGTATAAAACTTCTTAGCGCATAGCCATGTTGCCAAGTTAGAGATACACCGGATGTGTCATTTTACCCTAGTATGTCATTTTGGGCCAAGTTCCCCTATTTATTATCTATTCTATTTCTGTTTACTGATCTCGTATATTTTTGACTGCTTCAACAAATTTTATCTGTCATATCTTGCATAGACATCTCCTCATAGGTAAAACAATAGGTGTATAATATAAAAATTATTTAATACACATTAAAACATAGAAACATGTCCAAACATAATTATCACACTCTTTGACACTCTCTAGCACTTTCACAAATAAAGTAAGCTTCCAATTGACAATTTAAGTCGTTCCAGGTGAAGCCACCCCATTCTCGAATTTCCATACAATTTTCTGTAACATTAGATGAACTTTTTCCACTTGGTTCGCCAGGATACCAGTTAGTATATGTCATATCCAGACCTGTTGACAGCCAGATCCATTGGTCATCACCAACTAGGTTTACTCCGGATGTAAAGTAGCCTCTGTGTTTAAAACCAGCTAAAACATAATTATTATATTAAATCAAATACCAAAAATATAATATAATATAATATTAAAAACAAAAACATAATTAAATATTTATTTAACAAAACATTTTATTACTATTGCGCCGTGTGCTTAACCGCAAATTACCAGTTGTTTGTTGTACGAATGTAAAAATGTACAAATGTACTAAATTTACTAAATGTACTAACTGTACGTACTAAATGTACTAAGTGTACTGAATATACTATTTTTCGATTCTTTCAAATCTGATAAACAAAATAGAATGTTTTAAATAAAACAAATTTCATTTACAATATGTCTCAATAAGACAAGAGGAGACAAAATATACAGGTCACGATAGAGATCAAGGGTAATTTTAAGTGTGAAATGTGGATGTCTCAGTCAGTTAGAACCACATGGAAAACCTTTTTTAATATTATTCTTATGAAAAGTTCTACAGTGACTAAAACTCTAAATTCAATCATAAATTTTCAAATTCTTTTAGTCTTATAAAAGGTTTGTCAAAAAATATGAATTTGCTCATGTGTAAAGTACCTTTAGTTTTGATCAGTATTGAAAATTACATTAATGAATTGCATTCATATTCAATTTATTCATTAATAATTTTTTAAGTGAATACTTTTTGTCGCTCGGTATGCCTGTATATTTTTTAACGGATCCAAAGTAATATTTAGTGTGATTAAGATGCATATACCAACCTTGCGATATACAATAATATACATAATATACACATATATAAAAAACTCGAGAACGACTGGATCGATTTACCTAATTTTAATTTAGAAAGAAAGCTTCTTCTTCTTAACGTGCCCTATAAAGTCCCCTTGACGTTGGCGATTAACATGGCGAAACTGTCTCTGTCTCGAGCTATTCTAAATAGTTGCTCAGCTTTCTTTATTCCTGTCCACTCTCTGATATTCTTCAACCAAGAGGCCTGCTTTCTACCAATTCCTCTGCGTCCTTTGATTTTACCCATCATCATCAAAGAAAGCTAGCTCTTGCAAATGCGTAGAATTTAGGCTTATTAGGTTAGGCCCTCAGTCGTGCTCATGTCCGGTTGCGGCTTCTAATTCTAGTGAAGCAGGCGTGACGGGACAAACTACAGACTGCCAAGGAGGTTGAGCGGAACTTGGTCAGGATTTGGTTGCCCGGACCCATTTCCAGCCATCTACCTATCATAAGTTTTTCGCTCTTTAATGACTTAGGTCCTTAACACTCCACTTTGCTTCAACCTGTCTTGGGTAGAATGACCTTAATCCTTTCTATCGTCCTCCCTTGGACACACTCTTGATCTTCGACTTTTGACCTTTTCGCTATACAAGACTATGGGAAGGCGTCCGACAACGGAGTTGCCGATCCGTACAAAAGTAGTGAATGACTAAGCGTTAGATGGTCTCGAACAGAGCCCCCGAAATATAGGTCAGTGACCACTCCGGGGAGGATTTCACCTTATCGGGGTAAGGGATTACTCTTTTGGAGTGTGTCAGATGGATAAAAGAAAGGAATGAGCTAAACAGAGCCAATGTGACAGGTGGTAGAGAAGGTAGTGATGGATGAGCGCTAGTGGAACAAAATTGATAACTATGTAAGAAAGGTGCTTTCGATAAAGGAGAAGGAAGACGGAGAGGTCGACAACATAGGGTAATGGAGAGTATAAATGAGGAAAAGAGAGGTGAAAATATCAGGAGGTACGAGAGAGCGACAGGGTCAGTGAAATGAAGTGCGTGTCGACTAAGGTGCAGACGGATGACGACAAATGGCACACGGAAAAGCTTATCACGGCTTTGCCACTTGGAGGCAGGGCCGCGATGACGCTGAGATAGAAACGGTCGGGAGGTATGGATTTACTTGTACTTATGTATGTATGCGCAGGAAGGAAAGCAAATGTGTCGCATGAATGCAAGAGACAAAAGCTGATGTGTGATGGCCAACTAATGAGAATAGGGTAAAAGAAATTGTTGGAAATGTTAACTTCCGGCATCTATTATTATTTCATCATCATAAGAAGCAAAATTAAAAACACAGACTATGGCCTACATAACAGAAGAAAGAAGAGAATTAGAAGAAACAGAAAATTAAGTTTTAATGATGAATTGTATTGTGTACCTAATGAATAAATTGTCGCCTATTTTTCACGCTATATATTGAGGTGCTTGCATTAGACAGATATGTACAATATTTATTTATTAGTAGCTTATTAAAATATCTTACCGTTCGTTTCAATATGATTTTTAATGAGATCACTCTCTTCTTGATTTTTTAAACTTAATAGATGCATTCCCTGTTGTCTGCAAAACTGCAACGATCGATAGAAGTTTGTCTAGAATATAATAAAACTCGATTAATAATCTAAACTATTTTCAAAACTAATAGAAGATTAAAGTCAAACTTTGAGCAAACACCGATTAGTATGATGAAAGATTGTAGTTAGTGTAGTAGATAGTAGAATAAATCAAATAAGTTGCTTAACCCATTCACTACCAAAGACGCTAATTCGCGTCTTCTGTGTTTTATTTGTAACACCAAGGACGCGAATACGCGTTTTCGGACATTGTAAAGTATATTGCCTATAATATTGGCAGCGACGAATATGCAGGTATAATATTTGGTTGGCGTGATAGGGTAGGGTGACCTTAAATTATATTACTAGATGGTTGGTTGTTTGTTTGGGTCAGTTGTCATTTTGTTAGAGGGTGAAGTAGATAACTGTTAAGTGGATCGTCCAAGTACATCAAAAGATGCTTGGAACATTCGAAAAGAGAAAAAGCAAAAAGGTAAATGTTAAAATCGCTATAAATTTATTGGCTTGATTGATACAGAAATATTTGAGGTTATGTTCGGTTTTAAATTTTAGGCGGCAATTCAAAAGTAAATATACGCCTGAGGAAGCCATGGAGTTGCTGTTTTCTGGGGAATTAGATTCCGATGAGGAATCTGCAGACGATGAATTAACATCTGATGTGACGGAAAATGAAACGTCTTCAGATGAAGAGGTTACGGTTGCTGAAAACCAAAATTCTGATACTTGGCATTGGACACATAACGAATATTTACAGCAAATAGACTTTACGGGTATGCAAATTCCAGTAAATCTTGAGAATGACGAACCGTATTCGTATTTTAATGTATTCGCTACACCTGAATTTTACAACCTCCTTCTTACACATACAAACAAATTTGCAGAGGAGATTTTTTTAAGTGGTGTTGCAGAACGTTCTAGAATTACTGCATGGAAAGATGTGTCTCTGAATGAATTTAAAGTATTTTTGGGACTATTGTACCACATAAAGCTAAATTACTAATAGCTAATAAAGCTGAATAGAATGGAAGATTATTGGAATACCACTTTTCTGTTCAATATTCCTGTATTTAGAAATGCCTTGGAGGGAAAGGCTCATTTTTCGACAATATATAAAAAATAAACGCCACAGGTATGGTATTAACATGTATAATGTTGTGCGAGCCTAATGGGATGGTTAAAAAAATATTAATTTACACTGGTGCCAATGATACTGATATTGATGGAGTAGGATATTCGTCAAACGCTGTGATGAAATTGTGTGAAAACATATTTCATAGGGGACATGCCATTTATGTAGACAATTTTTATACAAGCATTAGTTTAGTACAATGACCTGTTACAAAATGGTACATATGTTACCAGTACATTGAGAAATTTTTAAAATGGAAAGATAAGAGAGACATTTTGATGTTATCAACGGAACATAAGGCCCAACAAATTCTTTGTGAGAACAAACGAAACCAGCAATTTGAAAAACCAAGGTGTATTGCAGAATACAATACCCATATGGGTGGTGTTGACATGAAGGATCAGATGTTTTCTTATTACAGTTGCGATCGAAAAAGTATGCGATGATAAAACTTGGAATACATATTTTAATCATGCTGTTTAATGCATTTAGCCTTTATAATAAAAATCGTCCTAAAGAAGATAAAATGTCTTTCTACGATTTTAGGCTGAAGGTAATACAATACTTATTGTCACATAAAGAAAATACAACCGGCGAAACAGCTTCTTACAACAAAAAACAAAGCACTTTCCGCAAAATATAAAAAAACCAAATAAAGATGGAGATTTTCGATCTATAAGAAGAAAGTGTAAATTGTGTGCCTCCAAAAAACAACGAAAGGACACCATGTACTGCTGTCTGGAATGTGCAGACAAACCAGCTTTGTGCCTCGATTTGTTTCCTGTATTCCACAAGAATTTACAATAACCTTTTTTTAGCTTCTACTTTTCCTTATACTTTTTTGAAAGTGACCATTTTGTGTTAGTTTATGCAATTTAACAGTCCAATACAGCAATATATTAAAGTTAAAAATACACTCTTTTTTATTTATTTAGTTTTAATGTTAATAAAATTAACTTGTCACCAAGTAATAATGATACGCCAAGGACGCGAATTCACGTTTTCATTTCACACGCCAATGACTCACGAATTTACGCCTCGAGCTTTTCACTTAAGTAGGCGACCCGGCGCGCTTAAGAGGTTAAACTGACTACTGGCAGTGAATGGGTTAATCACAGATAGTAAAAAACAAGAATATTTAACTATCTTAGTGGACGCGCTGTAGTATTATTCCTAAAATATTATAATTCATACTCGTGTACCATAGTGTCGCATTTTGTTTATATAAAATATGTTTAGTAATTTGAATCGAGGACATTCATAAAGATACTCTAATTAGAATTTGTAAATCAGCACTATTACCAATCACGACATATGCTTGGCATAGGTCATGAACAAACTTGACATACTAAGAAGTAAACTGCTGATATAGGCAAGGCCTGCTTTTAAAAGAGACAACAATCATTATCTCAGGGTTCAGAACTAATTTAACGTCAAGATAGCAAGTTAATGTAACGCGTATTGATAATTATGAGGGAGCCTCATATCAACATCACATAAGTACTAATTACATTTAAGATAAGTAATTTTAAGTAAATGTGTACAGTAGTGTTTTAAATAAATGGTCACCAAATTGAACAACCCGTTATTTACTATTTACGACGTTATTTTTCATAGCGCCGCTTACACCCGAGTACACCAGTGCACAACTTTGGAGAGAGCTAGGTGTTTAAGATTGAAGAGTCAGTTTTTTATGCTAGTTAATTAGATTAAATTATATCTAATTATATTCTATACAGTTATTTATATCGTAGTATTAGTTTATTTCATATACTGGTTATTGTATACTTTTTCATCGATAAAGGTCATATGTGTTTCAATAGTTTTCTCTTTGTTGTTTTCTATCACTTGTCTCATGATGAATATATTATCTAGAGATGATTTGGCTTTACGAAATCTGGCTTGTTCTTTATCATAACGTGTTGTTCTATTTTTCTGTTATAAGTGTGGAAAAGCTTCTTGCTATTTAAGGCATTACACTAATCCCTCTATATGTATTTGTTGACCTTTTATCACTTTTCTTCTTCTCTTTTATCATCTGGAATCTTCTCACTTACTTAGATTTTATTAAACAACTCTCGTATAAAGGATACGATTCTTCATATTTCAGCAATTCCATATTTATGTTTCCTAGTCCTGGTGTGTATAAGATCGGGTAGGTTGCTTGTGCTTAGGATCAGGATTAGTTCATCCCCTGGATCTTTTGTTTTTTCGACAGCTTGTGGACTGTTTATTTATTTCTTCTATAAGGTTAGGTAAATGTAACTGAAGGCTAGTTGGCTTACATTCAAGGGTTGCTAAGTATTGCTTGTTTAATACAACTCACCACATACCAATGACTATATGTTAACACTACTCGGACTACAATACGTTCAAAGTTAGTTACCCATAGTACATGATTTATTTACAACTCAGTTTTATAACGTTTTGTTGCTAAATTCATGTCTTTCTTTTTGAGGTCATCCTCCACGCGTTGATATGTATTCCAACGCTAATATCTGAACACTCTCGAGTTTTATACGATTTTTTACGAGCCCAAACGTGGACATACATTATTTTATTACAAACAAATTTAGCACTAGAGACACGGGCCACTTTACAAATACCTGAATAATATTTTGATATTGAACATATTGATAAATCTAACAACAAAATAGAGAAGGCACTCATCGACATGTTAGGTATAATCATTACAGAAATATGATTATTTATAATTAACAACTTAATTTAAATTACTCTTTTCCCTCAACAGTAATTATCCAGTATTTACTTCATATGTAGTGTAATGTCTGTTGCAGTTCATTATGTAACTTTACTCTGTGACTCTTCTCAATTATTATTTTGGCCAGTGTACTTTTATTTGCTGGTAGTATAGGGTGTTTCTCCGAATAGTTAAGGTCTGTATACCTTAACCTTTTGGCCACCCTTAATACTTCTTGTTGATCTAGATATGGTACCAAGTTTAATAGTTTCCTACCTCTATCTACTTGTCTTATATTCCTGGGTTTATGTATATCTTGCCTAAAGTGAATGAGTTGCGTCTGTTTTATTACTCTGAGTAGTTTCCTCTACTTCTTGGACTGTTCTTCTGACTTCTTTAATCTGTCGTTCTTTTCCTGCAGTTGTTTGCAAATCTTATACAGTATGAAAATCTGTTTGTCGAAAATTGTCTGTTTGTTTATTAACCATGTAGGTCCATTCCACCATAAATATAATTTTACTAGATCTGACTTCCTATACTAAGGGATATAATATCCACTGGGTTGTACTTTGTGTCAACTTTATACTATTTCTTGGGTAGTGTCATGGTTTTTATTTTCTCTACCCTATTTGCAATGAACATTTTTCATCTCTTCATTGATCCTTTTATCCATGAGTGTAATGGTCGAGTCTGACCATGCGTTTACTTCAAGGTCTTTTCTGTTTATAGCTTATATCGTTTTTTCATTAATTGTGCTAGCAGTAACGCTGAACATAATAATTATAATCTCGGTAGCGTCGGTTTTGTGTCTTATTAGCAATCGGGGATACCAACTACAATTTTTTATTTGACGATGTAAAGTCACAAGACCTATATATCAGATGGCGGCATTCTAAAGAACAGTGTATTGAAAAAAAAAATAAAACAAAAATCGTCGAACATTTCTCAACCTCCACAACCTCTAGGACGTCCAAACACTGTACCTTATATAATACCGATGAAGTATTTTACGTTGCACGAAAATATAATGGAACTTTATTCTGGCAACTATGAGTGGAGGTCAAAAGAGAATATTCAACTATCGTTTGTCAAGATCTCAGCGAGTTGTTGAAAAAGGGTTGTCATACTCTGTGTTTAGAAATTTCAGAAAACCTATGCTCTTGCAACCTCAAAGAGACGTGGTATTGACGACACTTTATTTGCATAACTTTTTCAGATGAAGTCGATTCAAACATTTGTATGCGCTTCAAGGTATTTTTGAAAGTGAACTAAATGACGGTAGAGTAATTGAAGTAGATCGGCGACGAGAAACTATTGAGTCATCATTAGAAAGCCTAAAAAAGTACCCTGGAAAAATTGTTCGACCGCTAAACAATCCATTAGTTATTTTGATACAAATAGACATTTATCTTGGCAAGACGATTAAGCTTGAACTGCATAGAATTTAATGTTCTGTAAACATTTCAGGATTAAAGATAAACTTTGAGAAAACTAAACTTATGACAAATCTCGTAATTAGTGGAAATATAACTAATGACAATAATAACATACAACAAACAGACACTTACAAATATCTGGGACACGAAATCAAAATATGCAGAGACAATCAAACACATGAAATACAGAGGCGAATAGGCCTAACTTGGGCAGCATTTGGCAAATTAAGCAATATTCTAAAAAGTTAAATTCCCATGTGTCTCAAGCGAAAGGTTTATGACCAATGTGTTTTACCTGTACAAACTTATGGAGCGGAGACTTTAACACTCACGCAAAAATCTGCGAATAAACTCAGAGTTACGCAAAGAGCCATTGAACGTGCAATGCTGAACGTGAGCCTTCGAGACCACATAACAAACCAACAAATCAGGCAAAGATCAGGAGTTCAAGACGTCATCGAAAGAACCAGGTCGCTTAAGTGGAACTGGGCAGGGCACTTAGCCAGAGTCCTGCTAAGTGCCCTGCCCAGTCCCAGTTCCTGCAAGATGGACGGTGGACAAGACGTATTATGGAATGGAGGCCCAGAAACTATAAAAGAAGCCGAGGACGACCACCGACTAGATGGACCGATGATAAAACGTGTAGCGGGAAACTGGCTACAAGCAGCCCAGTGTAGAGAACACTGGAAAGAACTGAGGGAGGCCTATGTCCAGCAGTGGACGCGATTGGCTGATTGATGATGATGAAACATTTCATAAAGAATACGAGATAGATTAAGGACCCTCCAAACAACAATTGGATACAATCGACTTACGCCTACACCAAATGAAACACTCCTCTATATAGGCAACATAACATAGGCAAGGACATTTCCTTGTAGAAGACAATCACACCAAGATGCAAATAGTAGTAAGTATATTTTTATGGAAGTTAATTAATTTATTTATTCAATTATTCAAGACGTAAAGTCAATAAGCAAAATCTGTGATCAAAAAAGATGTATTGGTATGCTTCGTAATGTACATGATATAAAATAATAATAATAATAATATATACTATAATAATATATAAAAAAATTGCTAAAATATGTTAAATATAAATAGTACTGGAATCAAACTGCTATCGTAAAAATTGAAGACACCTACACCAACGAAATATCCATACAACGAGGAGACAGACAAGTTACATTCCCCCCCCCCCCTACCAACATTACTTTAATCACTTATTTAAAAAGGCACTTAAGTGTTAGCATATGGAATAAAAATCAACGTCGAACTACTTAATGTAATTGAATACGCGAACGATAAAGTAATTCTCTCAGAAAATATTGAATGTTTGCATATTCTGCTTAATAGTATTCACGACTTTTTTCACGACAACTCAAACAAAACCAAATTTTTAGCCTTTAGTCATAACTCACAACCAGATGCAGATTTTCAATTAAATGGAGGTCAAGTGGAAAAATTTTACAAAATTTAATATTAGATCCAGACATAGACATAACATGCAGAATAGTAATGAATAAATCTATTTTTATGAAAATTAAGACATTTCTTTGCAATAATCATCTTAGTTTAGATCTGAGACAAAGATTATTAAGTGTTATATTTGGTCTGTATTTTTGTATGGAGCAGAAGTGTGAACACTAATAAAATCAAGCGTGATTAGAATTGAAGCATTGGAAATGTGGATTCATAGACTAATGCTGAAGATACCTTGAACAGCAATAAAAACTAATAAGGAAGAATTAAAGAGGGCCAACAATTATAGAGAACTACTAAAGACTGTTAAACAACGGAAATGTCTTATTTGAGATAATATAGTGAGATGAAATCGATACAGAATACTACAACTGATTTTTAAAGGAAGAATAGAAGGGCGTAGAGGTCTAGGAAGAAAAGAGGTTTCTTGGTTAACAAAAATTCGTTAATGGACTAAGATATCAAATGTAGGATAATCATTCTACGTGACATAAGATCGAGAATTTGGTGATCACCAACGTTGGATGATTCTAATATGGCACGTAAAGAAAAGTTAGATAGAAAAGATAGAGAACTTAAAGATGATAGTATATATTAATAAAGTAATAGTATGTCAATAAAGGCAAACATTCAAAGAATATAACATACAAAGGACAAAAACTAAAAAAGGTCTCAACATTTGAATACCTAGGAAGTATATTTTCAAATGATGGAAAATTTGATTTGGACATACCTAATAAACAGAAGAAAGAAAATAAAATATATTATACGCTAAACAAAATAATATACAGAAAAAGTTAAATAATCAACAAAACCAAATTACTAATATATAATAAGATTGTTAAATATAACACATAATGAGAATATTAGAAACTAAAAGAGAAATAAAGTTCAATAACGAACAATTAATTAAAGTTATAAGTACTTAAATAACTGTACTAAATATGTTTTAAGTGCTTCCTTACTTTGTCCAATTTTCTTTCTTTTTTTTTTGCATTCACTTCTAAATGCAAAGCATTTGCATCCTGAATGCAGAAGACGTTTACGTGAAGCAAAATTGAACAACAGGAAACCGGCCAAAAAACCCTTGCTTACCAGAGAACCCAGGGTTCAGAGAATGAATTCTGCAATATTGCATCAAAATTGGACCATCGATGATTGGAAACGAGTTCTTTTCTCCGATGAGACTAGAGTAAGCCTAAAAGCTCCAGATGGTCGTGAGCGTGTCTGGCGAAGGCGGGGAAAAAGGTTTGAAGGGTAATGCCGTCTGCTCTGTTTCTTGGACCTAATTTTTTATTCATGCAAGACAACGCTCGTCCTTATGTGGCTCGACAAGTTATTGGTTACCTAAATGATGTTGCTATTCCATTATTAGAGTGGCCACCTAACAGTCCGGACATGAATCCTATAGAGCATCTATGGGACTATCTCAAAAAAATATTTGAAATAGTAGACCCCCTATTGCCAATCACAACCAACTCATTGAGGCTGTTATTGAAGAATGGGAGAATATTCCGCAAGCTTTAGTTGAACATTTGATATCAAGCATGCCTACAAGGTATTAGTGTTGACCCAGATGCATTTTATTGTGTTACTTTACTAATTTTTTTCTTTTTGCAATTTGGAGTTGCTAGCTTATTCACGCATTTCCGGCAAAAACAATTTTTTAAAGAAACAATAAGGCAAATTAGGGTCATGATAAAGTCATGTTGGACGTATTTGTAGGTGTTTATTATTATTTCAATGTAACTTAGTCTTATTTTGTGTTCATATTGTAAATATTTAGATTAATTAAAGTGGTGCGGTAATTTTGTCCAGCAGTTTATATTATAGCTTGGTTTTATTTTATTATCGAAAAAAAGCACAATGATATGCGTCTTTTTCGATATGCGCATTTATACATGAGAGGTTTTTCTTTGTGCAATTTATCTATTTGTGAATATGTCTTGAAGGCTAACGTAAAATTTCTGTGCCTTGATTTCATTTACGTTTTTTTAATTGCTATTATTTCCTAGATTAGCACAATTCAATTAATTCAGAATAAATATAACCTTCAAATTTGAAGAAAAACTGTCAGACTAATATCATATATGGGCCCTAAACAGAAATAAAATGTAACACGTATACCAATATAATATTAAGTTTTTTTAATACAATCAACAATATGATATAATTTGTTATGAATATAGTTTCGTGTGGCATTTTAAATTAATTACTATTTAAATGGGAATGCCACCATTAAAGGTTAAAGATTTTTCTGGCGGATATTCTCAAGTTAAAGTTAATTTCATGTAATCGAATGAACTATCTTACAAGTAAAGTCGTCCCAGGAGCGCAACTCAACAATATTGGCAATATTTTAAAGTCGTCTACTTTAAAATGTATAATGTACCTATGTCTGAATTGTCAATATAATTGAGTCAGATAAAATTAAATTATTAGAAGAATTTTTCACTAAGTAACAAAAAAACAAAATTTATTTAATTTACTAATGTTTGTATTTTGAGAAGGATTTCCGAAGTGGAAATTGAAACGTCAATAAACGTATTTTTATCTTTAATTGTGGCTTATTCCCAGTTAAATAGTAATTAATTTACAATGCCACAAGAAAATAGCTTCAGAACAATATTAAGAATCTATAAAGCAGCAATTAGACCTATATTAGAAGTGGAAATTGAAACGTCAATAAACGTACTTTAACTTTTAAATGTGGCTTATTCCCATTTAAATAGTAATTATGCTATAATTTTACGTTTTTTTTAAATGGTATAAAAAGTAGAAAGTAAACAAAACAATAACAGTAATTATTACGTTACCCTAAACACATTATTGATATAATATGTTTTTCCTTTATGAGTAAGCCAATTTGGACCTCTTCGATTAGTTTGCAAAATGGGAGAAACAAAAGCACTATCACTCTGTTTCTGTAGATGTACACTGCAAATATAACACATAAACCATAGTAAAACAATTTTACAATTCATTCTACCGTCAAATATTGTTTGAACGTATACATAAACTTATCAATCAAACTAAACAAGTTAAATAAATTCGTAAACAAGTAGGATAACCAACTACTATCCTTGATTGCGAATTCCGAGATTGCATTCTAATTGGATTTGAATCTTTTATCTCATTCCAAGTGATGTTGGTAAACTGGTATTTCCACTTTGGACTAACCTGTCTTTTGAACCGTGATGTAAATAATTTCTGGCAATTTTTGTTTATTCTTTTATAGATAAACTCAATATTTTTGTTAATTTTATTAATAATATGTTTCATATTGAATTAAATTATATATACAGTGTATCCAATTAAGTTTGCACCATCATGGAAAACTTTTTTATTTTTAGTTTTATGAAAAAAATGTATTCTTAATAACAATTACTGAATGAACTAAAACTTAGAATATAATTGAATCATTTTTTTTTAAATGGCGTACGTAACATTTTTTGACATATCGACTTTTTGTGTGATTTCGGTTTTTAGAGGATATTTGCATCAATTTCTTTTAAAAAGGCGTCAGTAACAACATTCTATCTATGTAAAAAACGAGAACGAATATTTTGAGTTCATTTAAAAAAGGGCGTACGTGACAGCACCAACGCCCTTTTAAAAAAAATTGGTGTGAACGCGCTCTCTTCCTTTTTCAAGTCATCAGCTGTTTGTGGCATAGAACATAGTTTACAGAATACAGACTACAGACCACATTGTTACTGTTGATGTTAACACAAATGTATCATCTATAAAGATATTTTGAAGTTTTTGTTTGTATTTAGTTTTAATAGGTATTTTAGTTTATTTGTTTTCTATTTTGTAGTTGTTAGTTACAGTTTATTATACATTTGTGTGATATTTAATAAATTTCCCAATGGAAGACGGTACGATTCCTAGTCCTCAAAGAGGAAAGGACATAACCCCACAACTTTTTTGTTTAACTGTTTAACTCTCACCAACAACTAGCATACCAGACTGATAAGATCCCAATAAAGAAGGCCAAGATCGAAGACCTGAAGAAACTGAGAGAATTGCATACTTGCAATTGAGACATGCATACTTTGAATACTATAAATCTTTATTTGACTGACCAATAACCAGGGAAGCCTTTAATGAAAGTGATTTCAGTGAAGAGGAAGACAATGAAGGATAAGTTTTAAGAACATGCTCCTGAAGGGAAAAAATTGTTGGGAACTTTAACAAAAATTTGTTAGTATTTTTCATTGTTTTAATTCTCTTTTATAAAGTGACAATTTGTATAAAACAATAAAACCATATCTTTTAAACTTTTTTTTGTTACTTATTACCATTAAAATTTCAATTCTTTTTAAAAGAGCGTATGTGAGCAAAGTTTTCTTTAATTATTAACTAATAAACAAAAATTGGGGTGTAAGGTTGTGTTATAGAGGTAGTACCTTTTATTGGAACGACCACATCGAGCGTCATAGACGGGAGATGGTTCTTGATAACTGGTCCTTATAAGACACCGAACTCTCACTTATGGCTCCTCGTGCCACACTCCGGGCAACTGCATTGGTCTGCAGGCTAAACTAAGTGAGGGTAACCAGGAGTTTTCTGACCCGGAAAACTAGTACCTGCTTAGGGCCCTTGTCCAGGGTCACGGATGAAGACCACAACGGTATCCACGGCGGAGAAGAACATCTTCGGTACGGTGTGTATGGCGGAAGTGGCACCCCATTTTTAGGGTTAGTATAAAATTAAATGTAGCGTCTGATCCAGAATGGACGGCTACAAACAGCGTCTGACCCAGAATGGACGGCTGATAACTCACTCACCAACCCGCCTGGCAAGCGTGGTGTTTTAACTGCCATTACCCGCCCCCCCCACTTTTATCATGGCGAATAATAAAACAAAAGGAAATGGTCCCCAGGTGGGTAAGAAAATTTCTTAATCCCACACCTCAGGTCTGCCTCACGGTATCTGGGGGAGGCAATAATTCGCTTTTGATTGATAAAAACAAAAACCCACTAAGACGAGCACAGCATAAATCAAAAAACCCGTCAACCTGTCAATAGGGACATACAACATTAGATCAATGTCCACAGATGAAAAAGTACATGACTGGAAGAAGAATTAACAAACATAAAATGGGATATCGTAGGCTAATCAGAAACTCGAAGAAAAGAAGAAAACCGAATACAGCTAAAATCTGGTAATCTACTATATTATAAAGGAAATGAAATGAATAGTAAATTAGGAGTAGGATTTATAATAAATAAAGCTATAAGTAAGCACGTCCAAATATCAAAGGTATATCAGATCGTGTCGCCTATGTCATACTTAAAATAAGAAGAACATCAATTAAAATTATACAGGTATATGCCCCCACGACAGCTTATGATGAAGAAAATATCGAACTATTTTATGATGATATATCAAAGGCTATGAAAGAACATAAAAATCATCTTACACTAGTAATTGGAGATTTCAATGCCAAACTGGGTAAAAACTAAACAAAGAAGAAACTAAAATAGGAGATTTCGGGTATGGTCAGAGAAATGATAGAGGTGATACTTTGATGAACTACCTAGAACAAAAGCATCTATACGCAATGAACTCCTTTTACAAAAAGAAGTGGACCCCAACAAAAGTGGACATGGATCAGCCCTAATGGATCCACAAAAAATGAGATAGACTTCATACTGTTCACGGAATGATATATCATTAAAGATGTAACAGTTCTTAACAGATTTACAACAGGTAGCGATCACAGGATGGTCAGAGCAAAAATTAGTATTGACGGTAACTATGAGATGAAAAGAAAAATAAGTAGAAATTGGAACCTAGTAGATAGAAACAAACTAGTGCAATAAAAAGAGATATACAAAGACCTATTAAAAGAACAACTTACCCAAAGATTAGACAGTGCGATAAAGATATAGACGAAATATACAACATACTTACAGCAACAATGATTACATCAGGAAAAGAAATAGCAAAGAAGGATCTAAAAAATAACAAATATCAACAGAAACAAAGAAACTTATGCATAAAAGAAGGAAGCTGAACGGAGAAGGCAAAAGGAAATCTATAGAATATATAGAAATTAATAAAACAATAAGCAGAATAATAAAAGAAAATAAGAGAAAAGAACAAGAAATAAAAATAGAAGAAGTAATACAAAACAACAAAAATATGAAATGCTTAAGGCCGAAATTAGGTAAGTTTGAAATAAACAAAATAAAAGATGTAAATGGAATAAAAACAAACGTTAAAGATGACATCATAAACATAATCCACCATTTCTACTCAGAATTATATAAAACAAAAAAGGAATCACCAGAAGAAATTAAAAACCAACTTAAGGTCAAAATAAAAAATGTCAACTCTGAGCTGCAGCCCGAAATAAGCAAATCAGAAATAAAGAAGGCATTGAAAGAAATGAAAAACAACCAATCGCCTGGAAAAGATGGAATAATTGCAGAGATGCTGAAATATGGTGGAAAAGTGGTAATTAATACTCTACATTCCCTTTTTAACAAGATATTAAAAGAAAAAAGAATCCCAAACAACTGGAAGGAATCAGTAACCATTATCCTACACAAGAAAGGGGATAAAGCAGATATAAAAAACTACCGTCCTATAACACTCCTCAATGTAATGTATAAACTCCTAACAAAAATTTTAACTAATAGATTGACGACAAAATTCGATGGATACCAGTCGGAAGAACAAGCTGGTTTTAGAAAGGGATTCAGCACAAGTGACCATTTACTAAGTATGAAAATACTTATAGAACGAGCAAATGAATACCACATTCCTCTATATATGGCGTTCATAGATTTCGAAAAGGCTTTCGACAGTGTCGAACATTGGGCAGTGAAAAGTTCTTTGATTAACAGCCGAATTGACCACAGATATACGGAACTAATAACCAGTATATATATATATATATATATATAAGGCAAAACAACAATTAAAGTATATGAAGGAACAAAATCATTACAAATAAGTAGAGGCGTGAGACAGGGTGATACAATATCACCCAAACTTTTTAATCAGGCTCTTGAAGATACTTTTAAAAGATTAGAATGGGAAAAAAAAAGGTATAAAAATTTGTGGACAACGCTTGAACCATCTAAGGTACGCTGATGACATCGTATTGATAACCGATAAAAAAGAAGAATTATTTGAAATGATGAAAGAACTGGACGTAGAAGCTGGAAAGATAGGCCTTAATATGAATTACAGCAAGACCAAAACTATAACAAATACAGATGAAGACATCACAATGAGAATCATCAGGACAAGATGAAATAGAACAAGTTAAGGATTATATATATCTTGGTCAAACTATAAAACTTAACAAAGGGAACCAAACAGCAGAGATCAAGAGACGAATTAGACTGGCATGGGCGGCATTTGGCAAACTAAGCTACATTCTTAAAAACAAAAGATATCCACAGCATCTTAAGACCAAAGTATATAATCAATGCGTACTCCCTGTTCTTACTTATGGTTCCCAAACGTGGACATCTACAAAAGCAAACATGGACAAAATCATAAAAACTCAAAGATAAATGGAAAGACAAATGTTGCACATAAGACTAATGGATAAGAAGAGAAACGAGTGGATAAGAGAGAAAACAAAAGTGAGGGTTGTTAGACAAGAAGTTGCAAAATTGAAATGGAGATTTGCCGGACATAATATAAGACAAAAAGAAGACCGATGGAACAAAATTCTTATAAGTTGGAGACCGTGGGAATATAAACGAAGCAGAGGAAGGCCCCAAATGACATGGGCAGATAGTATCAAGAAGCACGTGGGCTCTAGATGGATGACTGTAGCGACAGACAGAGAAGAATGGAAAAGGATTGGGGAGGCCTATGTCCAAAGATGGACCGAAGAAGGCTAATTAGATAGATAGAAACAAAAATTACTATTGCTTTAAAAGTGTACTCTAATGGTGTTAGTTATATATTTGAGAAAATATAGTTAAAATTGGAATAAAAAAGTTATTTCAGTCTAAAAGTAGTTTTTTTTTTATTTTCCCAAAAGTTTGGATTTTGTCACTTACTCCCTTAAAAAAAAAAACGATTCAATTATCAAGGCCCGTCCTCACTTAGTAGCATAACATGTTATTTA